ACCTTTAAGAGTAGATTAGGGATCTCCAAGGAAGGAAGGAAGGAAGGGAGGGAGGAAGGAAGGAAGGGAGGGAAGGAGGGAGGGAGGGAGGAAGGAAGGAAGGAAAAGTGAAAGACAGTTACTGATGGGAATTGTAGTCCAATATATCTGTAAGACAGGGGCCCCCAAACTTGGCAACTTTAAGACTTGTGGACTTCAACTTCCAGAATTCCTCAGCCAGCCAAGAATTCAGGAAGTTGAAATCCACAAGTCTTAACATTGCCAACTTTGGAGACCCCTGGATTAGATGATGGCACATTTAGCATGGACTAGAACTAGGTTTTTGTTATTTTTAATGTTTTATGTTTTCACTGGCTGAGTTTGACAGATTTTAAAATGATTATAGGTGTGTTTTAATTTTTGATTGGGAGTCTCTCCAAGTTGGTTGAAAGGTGGGTGGCTGTATCATGTTTTTAAGTACATAAGTAAAATCTGGCGATGTGGTGTCCTGGAAATATTGGGGGGGAGGGGGCATTAACTGGTTGCACTGTTAATTGTTATTTCTTATGATCATTTTCAGCTGCCTATATATATTTATAATCTGTAACTGTTCTTGCATTTTTATGGTTTTAATTAGTGTGATATTGTTTGCCGCCCAAAGTCAATTGGATTGAGATCCTATACAAATTGAAGGGTTGGTTGGATGGTTGGATGGAGAGGATAGATATATGATAGACAACTCAAGTTCTTCTATTCCAGGAAGAGTTGGTAATGTGGCCCCTGCAGCTTCAGAGGCTCACTGTAAAACTGATTTTCAACCATCTCCCACCTGAGATCTTGCAAAAGTTTGGATATTTTCATAAGATCCTGGTGTGAGAGCACTAAAAGCCTTTAGAGTTTTAGAGCATTTTGTTTGCCTGTTTGGGTGCTCAGCACCTGAGAAGATTGCTTTTCCCTGAATAATCCACATGAGATGTTTGCGGTTTCCCAAGATTAAGAGGTAAGATTGAAAAACAAGCTGAAAGGCAGAAGAAACAGAAAAACGGAATTGGAGAAGGAAATAATTCGGCCCCGATAAAAATCAGCAGGATAAAGTTTCCGACAAAGTTCCTTGTGGAAGGGAACACTCAAGTTTTATCCCGTCCTCATCCCGGAGTATTCCAAAAATGTGAAGAAGCTGCACTACCCTTGGAATGGAGCCAAATGTGAGCCTTGATCCGGTGTCCATATGCTTTTTTCAGGACACAAATAATGCTTCTGTTTTTTAAGCAGCTCCATCACATCCACTCATACGCACTTCAAGCCATGTTTCTGAACTGCAACTTGGAAGATATCTGGACGTCGACTCCCAGGATTGCCACCACTTGGCTGATGTGAAGTCCTCACATCTTGCCAAGGTTGAAAAACACTCTAGATAATTCGGCTGATCTTGGAAAAAAGGCTCCTCTGGTTGGATCCGATTTGTAACTGGATGGAGGAATACCAGAAAAAACCCACGGCATTCCAGAAGTCCCACCTTTAGTAGTTCCTTCTTTATTCTTGACAAGAAAACCACCTAGACATGTGAAGCTCCACTCGAGGGGAACATTTATCTTTCTATACCAGAGCTATCAAACTCCCAGCCCACGGGCCAGATGTGTCATGCGCTGGCCACGCCCACACCCCGTTTAACGAAGGGAGAAAAAGTCCTGATACGTCATGTGACGCTGCCATGATAACACGAGTTTGACACCCCTGTTCTATACTAACAAAGAAGGGGATTCTGGGAAAATGTCTGCCATGCCCTTCCTGTAATGTTCTGACCTGCTTTTCCAACTCTTTATATACCTGTGCTGTATGCCCTCTGGACTCAGCCCTTTGCGACTGGCCGGACTTGAGGGTTGCATCTCTGGCAGCTCTTCTTCCTTGGGGAGACTCCCAGGGTATTTCTTGCCATCTGAAAATGGAAGAAAAACTTCTATTAAGCACCCTAGAGCAGGGGTTCCCAACTCCCGATCCGTGGACTGGCAATGGTCCGTGGCATGCCAGAAATCGGTCTGCGCAAACCAGCAAAGCCCCATCCACGGGATGCAGCCAGCCAACCAAAACCAGGCCCTCTCTGGTCCATGGGAAAACCTCTCTCCACAGAACTGGTGCCTGGTGCCCAAAAGGTTGGGGGCCACTGAATCCTAGAACCTCCTCCTCCTACCCACTCCCCCCAAAAAGCTGCATTTCTCAATCGGATCCAAAATGAATCTCTATTCATCCACGGTGAGTCTATGAGCAGAGTTCATTTATACATGAGAGAAACAGGCTCACAAAAGTATAGGTAGTCCTCAATATACAACCACAATTAGGACCAGAATTTCCTAGCAGTTGTTAACCGAGTCACACCTGATTTATTTTTTGCCGTAGTTGTTCAGTGAAACATTGATGTTGTTCAATGACTGAGACAGCCATTAAGCGAATCTGGCTTTCCCGTTAACTCTGCTTGTTGGAAGCCAGCGGAGAAGGTCACAAATGGTGACTTCCGGGATGCTGCAATCCTCGTAAATATATGTTGGTTGCCAAAAGCACCTAATTTTGAACATGGGATCATGGAGATGCTGCGATGGTCGTAAGTGGGACGACCGGTTGTAAATCACATTTTTTTTCAATATTGTTGCAACTTCAGATGGTTGCTAAATGAACGGTTCTAAGTTGAGGACAACCCGCAATCAAATTTCATAACAAGTCTATTTAAAGATGCAGAAAGGGATTCTCACCTGGGCCCATTCCGCCCTCTTGTTTCTCTTCCTTGCCATTCACCATCTTCTTGTCCTCTTTCTTCTGCAAAAAAAAAAAAGAAAAGAAAGGAGTGGGAGATATATTAAGCGAGAAGGAATCAGGTCTTCAAACAGTATGTTGGCAGAAGAAGAGCCCATGCTCGCTATCTTCCCCTGGAAGGAAGGAAGGCTCATGACAGAAAATGTCCCAGGAAAATGTTGCAAGATCCAATCTGGGTTGGTCACTGTGACCAGAGATTCTGTTTTTTTGAGCTTTTGGACTCGGTGCTGGAGCCCATCCACGGAGAATTTCTCTCTCCTGGAACGTGTGCTTTGGATTACATCAATCTCAGAAAAGTTAATCCTCTGGTCCTGGTGACCGATCCAGAGTGGAAGGAAAACTGTCCACTTTTTTCTGGGCATCGATGAAAGCACCCAAGATGCGGGGGTTCCAGAGATCCAAGGCTGCCCTATCGATAAGAGGGACACAGCAGAGATGCTAAGTGGCAGATCCAAAACCCCCTGTGGAGCAGCTGCGCATAAATGCTGAAGAGGCACGGCAGGCTGAATGGTGCTCCCGTTCCTTCAGGGCTGCTATCTGCTGTCTCTTCTGGAGGCATCACCCTATCTAAGGCCGGTTCGCGGTCCTCTCATCGGCCAGAGGAGACCAGGAAAATCAAATCACCCTTGCAGCAGCTCCCTCTGCTTTTCGCGTCCGTTTCATGATCTCTTCCAGACGCTGCAAGGAGAAGAAAAAAAAAAAAAGATGAAAAAAGGTGGTCACATGATATCCCTTTTCAACAGCAAAGTTTTCCTGTCTCATCGTAATTTATAAAACGGTGAGGATATTTTAGGCGTTAATTGGATATTTTGTTGTGGGGTTAAGGATGAGAGACCAGGGGTCTCCAACCTTGGCAACTTTAAGGCTTATGGACTTCAACTCCCAGAGTTCCTCAGCCAGCAAAGCTTAAAGTTGCCAAGGTAGAAGACCCCCGTGCTGGACCGTTCTGTACATTTTTCAAATCACAAAGGTTCACCCAGGGAAAATGTAGTGGAGATCTCTTCCAAACCTTCAGAATAGCCATTGCCAAGCAAGATGGTTGTTAAGTGAATCGCACCCAACTGTATGACCTTTTTGCCAAGGTTGTTAAGTGTATCACTGCAGTTGCTAAGTGAATCTGTAAGGCATCCAGAAAGTATCCATGATATCAGTCACTCCAAGACATATTCTCTCCAGTTGATCTATTTAGGAACAGATCTGGTATGTCTAAGGCAATTTCTCAAAGTGAAAGTATTTTTGCACATTACACAGAATCCACCTCTCTCTCCTCCCACTTCTACACTTCATAAATCACGAGAACCAATGAACTGCAACTGGAATTTCTTAGTACGGCATACAGAATAACCTTGAACTTTTCGACTCCTCCACCCCCCCACCCCTTTCATTAAATGTGGCAGCTGAATTTCAAAGTTGACAGAATCTTGAGATCATTTCGCAACTCTGGCTTTTCCCGTTGACTTCGCTAGTCAGAAGCCAGTTGGGGAAGTTGCAAATGGAGATCCCAAGACCCCAGAACACTGCAACGATTGTAATTAGATGCCGGTTGCGAAGCGCTTGGATTTTGATCACATGACTGTGGGAATGCCACACCAATGCTCACCTTTGGGGTGGGCTTTAACTGTGCTTGCCAATGAAATTGTATTTAACCCAAGACGTCATGGTTTTCCAATTGCAACTCTTTAAAATCCTGGGGTTCAGGCCCCAACAGCCAGACCCACTCGTGTTGAGTACAGATAGTCCTCGTCTTAAGACCCACAATTGAGCCCAACGTTTATGTCGCTAAGCAAGACATTTGTTAAGTGAGCTGTGCCCCGTTTTATGACCTTTCTTGCCCCCGTGGATAGGTGAATCGCTGCAGTTGTTAAGTCAGTCACATGGTTGTTTCAGTGAAGGTTGTTTCCCCGTTGACTTTGCTTGCCAGAAGGTCACAAAACGGGACCACTCTGGGACCCTGCGACCATCATAAATATGAGTTGGTTGCCCAGCATCCGAATTTTGATCATGTGACCACGGGGGCACTGCCATGGTCGTAAGTGTGAAAAATGATAACAGGCCACGTTTTTCAGTGATGTTGTAACTTGGAATGGTCATTAAACGAACTGTTGTAAGTCTGTACCTGTACCTGTAAACTACTTTATCGCTTTGGGTCTATTTCACGGGAATCTTCTTAGAGTGGCAGTTTGCCACCCGCCGGGGAAAGACTAGACAAATCTAATAAGACAAGCCTTCAAGGGAGGGTCAGATCTTGTGTTTACATAAACAACTCCAAACTATTCCTCATTTGACCTCTCCTCCTGACTGGGAGGGTTGATCTCCAACACAGCGGCTAACCTAAGCTGGCCTGCTTGCTTGGGAAGCAAATCCCCAAGCGGCCCTTTTCCTATACAGAATAAAGCTATTATAGAGATGACTACATCTGGCATGATTAATTGGCGCAGCACTCCAGGGGCAACCAACCAGGGATTCTGGGGGCATCCCTCTTACCTTCTTCCTCTCCAGCCGTTCCTGTTCTTCTTTCTGGAAATGTTTCTCTCGTTCCACTCGTTGGCGTTCAGCCTCTTCCCGGGCCCGAGCCTCAGCTTCCTCCTTCTGCAAGGAAGGAGAGGAGAGATGAGCAGCTGCTGCGCAAAAGAAGGATTCCCCCCCACCCCACCCCCGTTTCCAGCTGCTTGCAGAAGGACCAAGGACAGCAAGTGAGGAATGGGGGGTTTTCCAAGTCGGACCCCCCTCCCAAAAAAAACGAGAGAGAAAAGGCAGTTCCTCTTGCCAGACCACTAGAAAATTCAGAGCTCCATCCCTGATCCTTTTCAGCAGAACAGGTAGTCCTTGTTTAGCGACTGCCTCATTTAGTGACTGAACGTTATGTTAGGACCAAGCCCGCTAACTCGCAACACACCTGTTTCTGCAGCCGTTCTTGTTCCTCCTGCTCTGCCCGGGCCCGTTCCTGGGCCTCCTGCTCCTCCTGCCGGGCCAGCTCCTCCTCCTGCCTAGCCAGCTCAACCTGCTGCTGCAGGCGGTCTCTGGCCTCTTGCTGAGCCCGCTCCTCCGCTTGGCGCCTGCCGGAGGCCCAGAGTCAATGTTGGAAGCACAAACCACGAAAAAGAAAGAACGGAAAGCAGCCGCTAAGGGCGTTTTAGCATGCCCCGGAAGCAATAGGCTTGCATCCCTGCTCATGCAAAGAGAAAATAAAAACTCTGCACATGTTCCATGTCACCCTCTCGTTTTATGCGTTCTAGGTGAATTATCTCATCCCTTAATTCTCTAGGAGACAAGATACTTGACCTAGAATGAGATAAGATGAGATTTTGGCTGGTCACTCGAAGGCTCATTGTGCCCAACTCTCCAGAAAAGAAAAATAACACTCTCCTCCATGAGGTCTAGAAACCTTGCTTCAGCTCCACTGGAAAACTCACCGCTCCTGCTCCTCTTGCTCCTTCCGCTCCTGCTCCTCCCTCTCCCGCTGTTCCCGCGCTTGCCGCCGTTTCTCAGACAGCAATCTAGCAGCTTCTTCTCGGTCTGTGGTGCCAGCCATCGGTTTGCCTGGCGTTGAGGGAGGAGGTGGAGGCATCGGGCTGGCAGTCCCAGAGGGGGCAGTGACTTCTATAGGAAGCCAAGCTTAGAGTTAGGCCACTTCCCCCAGAAGGAGCCTCCTCACCTGCCCACCAGCGTCTCCACCCAGGCATCACATTCATAATGGGAAGGAAGATGTAGCTTGACTTGCTTGTAATGAGGCTCTGGGGTGGTTATGCCTGGAGACTGCTTGTTCAGTGGTTTTGGATAGTCCCCTTGGCTGCATTCACACAGTGCTCTTAAGCTGAGGCTAAGTTATTGCTAAACTAACCAAGAGGGCATGCTTCACCTAACAGGAGGGGCAAAAAAAAATAATTAACCAAGGTTAGCATTATCCAAGCTAGTCCCAAAGGTGTCAGGATTCCCACAGTTACTCCAATTAAATCATGAGCCTCGAGCCACACTCCCAAAACTAAAAAAGATTTATTTGAAGTTAATATTCTACATCCGATACAAATCTGGGCGTAGCCAACTCTGAGATAGGTAATTCACTGTCACCCTTGATCCTGCTTTCGCCCCCACCCCCCACCCCTCTGGGTGTATCATCCAACAAAAACACGTCCATAGCCAAGAGTCATCAATCATGCTCTCCAATCAGGCAGAAGCTTCAGTCATCTAATCAGTCTTTGAAGAAAATATGAATGGGATGTATTTTCGATTCCACACTGCTCTCTGCTCTTTGAAACTCCCCCCACTTCTTGCTGTTGTCAACTATAAAAAGTGTATACAAAATATTCCATGAGTTGACAAAAGCTGCTTTTTCAAGAGGCAACTGGACTTTCTGTTTTTTCTTTGAAGACATTTCGCTTCTCATCCAAGGCGCTTCTTCAGCTCTGGATGAGAAGTGAAACGTCTTCAAAGAAAAACCAGAACGTTTTTTTCTTTCAAGCTTCAAGCTGCCTCTTGAAAAAGCACCTTTGGGACAACCATGACCTGGATGACTGAGACTCTCCAAGCTAGACAAAGGCATCTGAGCTTCACCTGAGGTGGTTTAGGAAGCTGTCTGCATGCAGTCCATCTCAGCTTACTTTGCAGAGTGGATGTCCCTTTCAGATAGGCCAAGTTGGGAAACAGACCCTATAAGGACTATTTAAATTTGATTATCACATGATATAATAACGGTATCCTGCCAGTTCCCCTCTCCCCTTTTATGGAAAATCTATGAGCTGTTATTTTGAGTTTCTTCTTTACACTTCCTCTTTTCCCAGGACTGAGATTTCATTCGCTGTCTCTCTTGCATTCCTTCCTATCTTTGCTTCCTTCTCCATGTAAAGTTGGAAACTTCCATCCTTGCTTTGAGCAATCAGAGGAAAGGTAGAATGTAACATGCTTTTTTCCCTTCCTTTTAATGCTTTTGAATCATGCCCATATTAGGATTGTAATATCCCAGTTTAGCTTTCTAGCCGCCCTCTGAATACGGCTGTCCTCGACATATGACCATTATAGAGCCTGCCCATTATGGTCATGTGTTGTGAAAATCATAAACTGAGTCCATCTTGTGACTGACCCATTTTGTGGTGGTCATTAAGCAAATCACCACGGCCGTTAAATGAATCTACGATCATTAAGCAAACCAGTGGTTCACTATGGGTACGGTTCTGCAGAAAACTGAAAGGGACAGTTTTAAGGGAAATTGTTGTAAAACGCGGCCACATGACTACAGGACACAGTAAACAATTGTAAATGTAGCCATGTTGCTGAAGATGTTGAATTTGGGTTGTAAATCTCCTCTTAGGGGCTGGTTGTAACTCTGAATGGTTGCAAGTCAAGGACTACCTATATACATTTTCAAAATTCGATGATTAATTCTTTCATTTTCGGCTCTATGCCTTCTTTTATTTGACCGCATTAGCCTTGGCTGCAATTCAGGGTTAACGAAGAGCAATTATGGCCCACCTGCTGGTGTTTCACTGTTAACTGCTGCCTTCAAGTTGTCCTCCAGGGCTGGAGAAGCTGCCCCACGTTCCTTCGGTTCATTCTTGCATTCACGGGCCTTTGGTTGGCCCTCGGGCTCCCTGCGAACTCGCCTCTTGGGTGAAGACTGGGCACTGTGAGCCAGGCTTGCCCGATGCGAAGTGCTGGGTCCTGGGCTTGACGAGGCTGGGCGCTGTTTGGCCACAGCCGGCAAGGCTGGCTTGGACTTGGGGCTCGGGCTGCCAAAGGGAAGCATAGAGGAGCTGGCATTAGAGACAAAGCGGGGGAAACAGCCAGTCCCATTCTGGAGACCCTTCTCGGAGCAGAAATGCACAAGACAACTCTCCAATGATATGATTTCCAAGGAGAACTCATGCCCAGAATCTAACATCATGCCAGCAGGAACTACATGCTGCAAAAAAACCCAAAACCACCTGAAATCCTGTTAAAATTGGCAGTTATCCATGTCAACCTTTCCCAACCAGCTGAATGCGCTGAATCCCACATTCCGGCTGTGCAACCTCCCAGCTTCTTTTGCAACAGGTGCTTCAGAGCATGGAGACGTGTGAATCTACTGTCCTGCAATCCGAGTAAGAGATGCAGCTGCTTTAAAGAGCTGCCGATTGAGGTTGCTTTCACAGCCCAGGATGCAGCGAAGCATCTTTTCTCAATTATGTCCAAAAAACTCAGAATTATTGGAATGACTCCCTTATTGTAACTGTAAATTTCGACGACTCCTGTGACAGATTGTACAAAATGGAATTATCATCCTAATAGGGAGGGTTATGAGGTTAGGGGGGGAAAAAAGAGCATTATTGTCAAGAGGGATTCTTGGCAGGCAGCTTCATCCATATAAGGCATGGCCGCCATCTTGAATTTTGATACATGGATTGGAATGGAATGGAATAGAATTGGTTCTATTGGTTTAGTCATTTGATTACATTCAAAGTATAAAACTAACGTAAATATATAAGTAGATGCAAAGAAAACAATAGGATGTGTTCATAGCAAGCCACCCCCCTTACAATTAACTTCAATCTTATCTAAATATTCTGTCCTCCTCAAAATGATCTTTGATATACATCTCCCGTAATCAGATATGATTGCAAAGTTGGCTTCCCAAAGCCCATTTAGACAGTGCTAACTTAATTCTGTACCCCGTCAAGATCCTTGTGACTTCTATGACACTGTAATAAGGATATACTATGATATATAATGTTGAATAGGTTATAATATGAATGTAAATTCAATAAGAAATGTATACAAATATTATGTGCACAAGGTGTATGTACCCAGTCGACACACTGTATAACTGAAAGATGGTATTGTTGTTTTTGTTATAAAAATAAAAAACTATAATAACGATAACAATAATAATAAAAATAATCTTTGTGACTTCTTACCTGCCTTCGGGTACATGCAGCTGACGCGCCTGGCCAGAAGGCGTAGAATGGCGTTTGCGGAGGGCTAAGGCACTCTTTTCTTGGGCGTTTTCTCGATCCTTGTCTTTCTTTTCTTTCTTTTTCTGATGCTGAGAATAAGAGAAGACAGAATCATAAAGGAGAACCCACTTCCAGGGCGGAGAAGAACTCTGGGCCAAATCAATGCACAGTAACCTCATCTTCAAAGCAAGGGGTTGTTGAAAACTGCTTTTAAATCTTGGCAATGTATGGACTTCAACTTCCAGAATTCCCCAATCCTTTAAGATGCGTGGAAGTCCCAAAACTGCCAGGGTACTGGTTGGATCAACCTCTCTGTACCTTGTCTGTACACAGTTGCTTAGCAACTGAAAGCTATTTGGTTTTCATTCATCTCTCAAGGCAACAGCAGAAGCTTGTTTGAACATATAAAGCTCTGATGTCAGAGGTGGGTTTCAAATTTTTTTTTACCACCAGGTCACTGGGTGTGGCTTGGTGGGTGCACTTTGCGCGCACGCAGAGGGTTTCTACTGACCTTCTCCTGCAATCCTGCACTCTCCCTGTGTCTTCAACAGCTGACGTGCAGCAATCCGCTGTGCCGCGTGAAGCAGCTGAGCTTCAAAACCAGGAAATAAAGGAGAGGATAGAGGCGGGGCGGGTGGGAGGGCCCAGCAGCCGATCGTCGGAGCAAACCACTTCACTCATAGATGATCCTCAGAGCTACCGGTTCTGACGAACTGGGCCAAACCAGTAAAATACCACCACTGCCTGATGCATATAGTATTTGGCTAATTGGTGTCTCTCTTCCACCCCCATACTTAAGGTCTGGAATTCAGGCATCCCTTTCTACCTAAGAGGCCAGGACTCAGGTTTAATTGAGGAAGACTACGAGAGTCCCAGGAATTAAGGGAATCCTGGGAAACAACCACTGAGAAGACAATTTTCCTTTTCCATTAGATGAAACTCCTGCAATTTCCTCAAAATACTGACCCCCCCTCAAGGTCATTACAGTTCTCCTCCTACCAACAGGCAGGTTGAAAATATGATGTAGCCCCCCCACATCTGGAGTAGGGGACAGCAGCACTCAAGACCATAAATCTGCTCGTCTCTGTTGCTTCTAAAGGAGAGAAGAAACTTCGGTGGGAATAAAAATGTGGATCTAAAGCAGCATTTCTCAAACTTGGCAACTTTCTGGGAGTTGAATTCTTAAAAGTTGCCAGATTTGAGAAACACCGATCTAAAGAGTTGGGATAGTTTTTTTTAAAAAAAAATCTTATAGCAACTTACAGGAGAGGAGTGAGGCTTATTCCGGGGGGTTACATCAGGGCTGGTGGTTGCTGGCCGCCGTCGCTCCGCACAACGGTGTACACGCTGGTTTTTGCAGGGGCTTACTGGGCTGGCAGAAGCTGAGCGAGGGCACACAGGAACTGTTGGTGGTGAATGAAAAAAAGAAGGTCTGAATCTTCTACCGGGTTGTTTAGCAATACAAGACGTTCATGCTCGTTTGCATGAGCCGCGGGCAAGTGTGTGCGTGCACGCTCCATTTGTGCGACAGGGAGACACTCAGCCACTTGCATGAAACATGACTTCCCTCTGCCCACCGGTCTGCAAAGCCGGAAATGTTGGAGAACTCAGGCTTATTCAATCAGCCCAACATGACATGCTAAGCCAGGGGAGTAAAATTTAAGGCCCACAGGTCGGATTTGGCCTGCGATATGGTTGAATCTGGTCTGCGGGGCTGTCCAGGTCTACCCAATGCAAAGAGGAAACATGCCAGCAGTTTGGGGAGTGGCATCAAACTAGCCATGCCCACCCCGTTGGCCGCACCCACCCATGGGCGACTGCCCATGCCCCCCTGGACAGCCACAGGTCAACCACAGCCCCGATGCAGCCCTCAATGAAATTGAGTTCGACACCTCTGTGCTAAGCCACAAACAGCCGAACAACAGTTATGAACAACAAACGGTTCATAAACATAACAGCTGAGTTCACGGAAAACATAAGCTAAACCTAACAAATCAACCTAACGATGCAACCAGGCTGATGCTGTTGCAAACGCATCATTCCTTTGGCATCATCGAGGCTTGCTTCCCACCCTCCTCTCAATGACATTTTAGCCCCCTTAGATCCTTCCGCTCACCTTGCTCCTTGCCATTGCCGGCTAGCGTCACAGCGCTTCTGCTGCGGGCCAAGAAAGCGAGAGTTGGGGTCATCAGCCGGTCCACGATGCTGCTCTCCCAAGCACTTAGTTGAAGACTACGATCTGGGGAAGGAAAAACAAAGTTTTTGGTTAATCCAAGCTCTGGTAGGGTTCAGTTTCCTCCTGGACCAACCTTCCAGTGCTTGGAGATACAAAGCGCTCCTTGGATTTCTGGTCTGCAGAGGTGTGCAACAACACTAACTTTCCAAATCTCTTCCTTGAAACTTGTGACTGCTACTACTACTACTACTACTAGTACAGTTGCGTTAGGAGAACCAAAGCACTTTCAGGCTGAAAGGATTAACCAGTGATATCACTATTGCCCAGGGGGTGCCGAGTTAGGGGCTCCTTTCATACCCCCACGAAGTTGCCCCCCATGAAGTGGTACCCATCTTATCTACCTGCAGTTGCCCACTTTCGAACTGCTGGGTCAGCAGGAACTGGAGCAAGATGATGGAAGCTCACCCCATCACACAGCAGCAACCGAGTCTCAAACATGGGCCTACCAATCATCAGACCAGCATCCTAACCACGTGAGCCTGTGCTCCCCAACTTGTAGCTCATGAACAATCTTCCAGTAGCTTAACCCATAATCTTTCTACAAGAGATGGTTTTAGATCTTTGGCATGACGTAGTTTTGCTTGCAACTGCCTTACATGGGTGTGACAAAAAGAAAATCAGGTATAAAGGAGAGAAAGGGTGTCCCCACTCATTCTGAGTCTACATCTGCCTACATCTCTCAACAGATTAATTCCTGATAGATTGCAGTTCTTGGTAAAAAGAGGGTTACAATCCAGATTGGGACAATTTGACTGATGGAATCCAATCAAAGGTGGACTTTGCCATCTCCTTCCTTTTGCTCCCTCTTCATATTTCTAAACCAGTGTTTCTCAACATCAGCAACTTGAAGATAGGTGGACTTCAACTCCCAGAATCCCTCAGCCAGCCATGGCCGAGGGATTCTGGGAGTTGAAGTCCACCCATTGTAAAGTTGCCAAACTTGAGAAACATTGTCCCAGAGCAGCGGGCTCCAACCCTTCCACCAACCAGGCAATAAAGATTTATAGATTTTAAAAGATTTAGGTGAGGAAAACCAGGTTCAAATCATAGTTGGTCCTGAAACGTCATTGGCTGTGTTCACATAGAGTGGAGGTCTCCAAATGTGGCAACTTTAAGACTTGTGGACTTCAACTCCCAGAATTCTGGGAGTTGAAGTCCACAAGTCTTAAAATTGCCAAGTTATGCCTGACATAGAGATATCCAGCCTGTACTGAACAGCAAATGGTTTTTGAGTAGTGGCAACCCAATTCTGCTCCCGCATTTTGTGTGTATATGATCATTGGCAATACAGGTGTTGGAGAGTCAAAAACAGTCAAGATGGCAACTGTAACGGTAACCATCTTGAAAGCTTGTTTGTTTGTTATTGCTTGATTCCAGCCAAAGTATTGAAAAAACATTGTGTAGGACTCATAATCTCCCAATAGTTGCTTGTTCCTGTTATATTAAATGATTTATTCAGTTGCACTAAACTGGTAAATAAACTAAGATTAGATGATTTACCTCCTTTTGTCCTGAATGTGTAGCCAGTTTCTCAGTCTCTAATAATTCCAATGGTTGTCCAAACAAACTACTTTAAAGCTGGCACACTCCGGGAGATTAAAGGAACATTGTAATAGTTGCATAACAAACTACTTCTTGACATTTTGGGTATGGCTGATAATTCTGCAAACAATGTTGACGCTCGACTGACGTTACAAACCACCTTTGCCTGAAAAACCTTAAGCTTTGTAGATTCTGCCAGAGGAAGTGACTTGCAATAAACACAAATATGAACAATGAAAGATTGAAATAGCAAATGTGGCTAATCATGGCCAGGAATATCCCACACCCTATCAGTGGGAAACCTTTTCGTTCGAGAGATAGCTGGGATTCCAGCATTTTTCTGAACAAGCTTGTTTTCAGTGGGTCTGGAGAACAGAATATAAAGGTCATTTTAATGCTCTTTACTACTTATGTTATTGGTCTAAGGAGCTTGAAAACTTGGGTCAGAGGAAGATGGGATGTATTTTATTTTAATATATTTTATTCTGTGTACCTATATATTTATCTTAACATACAGGTAGTCGTCGACTTATGACCACAATTGAGTCCAAAATTTCTTTTGGTAAGCAAGACATTTGTTCAGTGAGCATTGTCCCATTTTATGACCTTTCTTGCCACAGCTGTTAAATGAATCACTGCCATTGTTAAGTTAGCAGCAAGATTGTTAAGTGAATCTGGCTTCCACATTGACTTGGTTTCCCAGAAGGTCACAAAAGGTGCAGGACATTGCAACCGTCATAAAGATGAATCAGTTGCCAAGCATCCAACTTTTGATCACATGACCAGGGAAATGCTGCAGTGGTTGTAAGTGTGAAAAACGGTCATAACTCACTTTTTCAGTGCTGTTGTAACTTCAAACAGTCACTAAAAGAACTGTTGTACGTTGAGAACTACCTGTATTTTATTTTTAAAAAGTGGGATCTGTTTAATAAATTTTAATGGGTTTGAACAAAAGAGTCAAACTATCATTTCAACGTTTTATGCTTGTGGGGTTGTTTTATTTTTTGGTTTGTTGACCCCTGCTCCTGTGTGAATTGAAAACCAACCAAAATCAGAGATATGAGGTGGGTGCCTATATACATTGATAAATAAATAAATACAAACATAATTTTACATCTATAGGCTTGCTTAATTTGGCTTGGTCACTGATACCTTCCTATACATTAATCTCAGCATTACGAGATTGCAGAGTTGTGGGGGTTTTTTTACCTAAAAAGGCCAATTTTTAAAAAAATAAAGAAAAATTTGTCAAATCTTTCTCTTGGCATCCATACGTACCTATGAGCACACTGCTGTCTGAATAATTTCACCTCAGGACCGCACCTAATTCCACATGCATTAACCATCCCTTCCGTTGGTCTTTTCCTGAATCTTGTTCAGATGCTCAGGATATTTTTTCATCATCGCTAAGCAACGAGGAAACAAAACAATGGCGGGCAGAAATACTATCTTTAGCAGCAAAGAGACATTAGGGCAGGGCGTAATTGGAGCCCGTCGAACTCAGCAGTGTAGGATCTGCTTGCAAGGACCAAGTGGGTAAAATTTCCCCTCAATGGAGAGACAGCTCCACAGGAGGGTCAAGGTGCTTTTCAGATTGAACACCTGGGAAGTGTCATGCAACACACCTGGAAAACATTAGAAGGTGCTCTCCTATTTTGTAGTGTCTGTTGTCGACCTCACCATCACTGCAGGGGTCAAAGTAAACTAGGATTATTAATATCCCACACAGTTTATACTTTACATTTTATGGGAAATTCTATCTTACTATTTCATTAGTGCTTCTAGCGTTTCAGCTGAGACCCTTTGCAAAGAGCTGCTCCAGAAACATACAGCTAGGAAGAGAAGGGTCATTGCAAAGGTCCCGTGGTTTGGGACCAACTAGACCAGTTTGGTCTAGTGGTTAAGGCAGCAGGTTAGAAGCCAGGAGGTTGTGAGTTCTAGTACCAGCTTAGGCATGAAAGTCAGATGTGTCAAAGTCACACATCTCTCAGACCAACTCACCTCACAGGGATGTTGTTGTGGGGAAAATAGGAGGAAGAGAACTATTGTATATGTTTTACTCCTTGAGTTAGTTATAACAATAATAAAGGTAGGATATGAGCTGTGATGGCACGGTGGTTAGAATGCAGTATTGCAAGCTAACTCTGCTCACTGCCAGGAGTTCGATCTTGATGGGGCTCAAGGTGGACTCAACCTCCCATCCTTCTGAGGTCAGTAAAATGAGGAGTCAGATTGTTGGGGGAAAATATGCTGACTCTGTAAACTGCCCAGAGAGGGCTGTAAAACACTATGAAGAAGTATATAAGTTTTATTTACTGTATAAATAAACAAGCAAACAAATAAATTAATAATGGTTTGAAGTACCGAACAGGGATTCACATATTCTGCCAGCTGTGCCCCAACGTGACCTAATGGGTGAAATGAGGGAGAAATAATATTTGCTTGTTGAAAAGGATCACTGGGAACCCTGACGCAAAGCATTGTGAGCATCCCAAAGACTCCCCCCTCCGTGCAAAAGTGATTTCCTGCTCTGCCCTCCTCCCCACAAACAGCTGAAAACGCTGGATAGCAGAACTGCAGTACATCCAAAGAGACTGAAATTATGAGGCTGCTGTGCGCCCAAAACTAAGGATGTCAACCATTTTAGCTTTTTGAGGAATTACTGTGTCTCATTTGTGTTTCTATAACTGTCTGGTTTGACATAGCAACCAAACAGGACAGGGACAGACTTCATCGGATAGTTAGGACTGCAGAAAAACCATTGCAACCAGCCTGCCTTCCACTGAGGGACTGTATACTGCCTGGGTCAGAAAGAAAGATGAGAAAATATCTATAGATATTCTGCTGTCTGAACCTTATGCTCAAGCTTTGGTCTTCCTTACACCCCAGTTGATTACAGATAGCAGGTAGTTCTCAACTCACAACTCATTGCTTATTAGCCATTTGAAGTTAAGACACACACACACACACACACACACACACACACACACAAAACATACTTCTGACCCAGATTCGAAGTTCTGACGGCTGCACTACTCTTCCCCACCACCACCACCCAGTCATCTGAAGATAATTTGGGCATTATGCAAGCGGCCCACATTTCCGACACTTTGCTGTGGCCTCTGATCACATGAGTGTGATTTACAATAGTTTCCTGCAAAAAAAAACCCAAACAGCCTATTGCACACAATACTTTTGGTTTATGACTGTGGTATTCACTTAATGACTGTGGTATTCACTTTACAACCACCATTAAATTCACTTCATGTCCTCTGTAAAAAAAATTAAAATTAAATTGGGTCAGTCATACGATGACCTGCTTACCAGTTGGCACAACGTAAGATCTTTAAGTTAAGCTGTTAAGTCAAGGACTATCTGTACACGGAGTTAAAAACATGCTTCACATGTGTACTGTAATTAATTCATCATACAAGCCAAGGTTGGAAGCCACACTAAGTCTCCAGTGCCCGCTAGATTCTGAAGTTTGATGTGCGTGTGTGCGTGCGTACACCATCCTGTTCTGTCGATCAAACAGCAAAATGCTTCAGACCGCTTTGCACCTCTAACAGTTATATAAAATCAACCAGTTCAAGAAAAATATCCATATTGAGCTCTTAACCAAAATGCTGAAATGATTTGGCACTGCCTCATTCCAGGATAGGTTTTTTTTTTTCAACTTTATAGTCTAGCTGCCTATAGCCCTGAGCTCTCCTAGTGGTCTCTCCTCCTTCAGTCTTTTCAAGTTCTGGCAATATCTCCTTATGCTACCACTATTTTGGGACATAGAAGGTGGGCAAAAAGAGAGTGCTCTTCCTGTTTGATCTCGAGGGAAGGCAGATAATGAAATTCTCTTCAGACGTTCATCATTCTTTTGGTCAGTTGCTGAATTTCAATGCTGCCACTATATTTCCTTCTTTTTATCTACTGCAGCATTCATCTGTTTACATATTGAGCTTTGCATTTAGTTCTTTTGTTTGTTAAAAGCACTTTGAAGAGCTGGCATACAAAAAAGGCCACAAATAGACTGCAACCAAGGTATCAACAAACAGACCAGGCTGGGCAGTGAAACCTGGGACACGTCCATGACAATTCACCAGGCCAACACACTATGGCCAACTCGCTGTGGAACAATTCACTTTGGACAAGAGTTACACTAATATCAAAGAAATGGTGAAATAGAATCATTAAAGAAAGGATGAAAAAGGAGGGACAAAAATGGAATGTGAATCACAAAATTTTTTAAAAAAATAATTTATTTTGAACAATTAAATTGAATGTTTAAATTGTCCCGCAGCAACTTAGCTGTGACGAGTTGGCCGCAGCAAGTCGTCCCATTCCGTCCTGGGACTGATGATTGAGAGACA